CTTCCTTTCCAAAACCCCTGTAACTTCATTGCTATGGAAAATGTCATTCTCCTGTCATTTTCCTACTTAATCCTCATCTCCATCTCTGCCTTCTACTTCGTTTCTTTCCTAAGTCTTCCCATTACAGTGTGGTGTTCTCTAGGATTCCATCCATGTCTCTTTTCTAAGTCACAATTTCATCATATTTAAAACAAACATAAATGCTTACCTATGTTTTAGAAATTGCTAGTTTCCATGAGTATCCATTCTTTCTATTGTTCATAGAAATTAATTAAAATTTTAATACTGAAAAGTTTAAACATAAACTAAAAAGTAGAAGTTAGTATAGTGTCCCCTCCATCTCAGCCAATGTTAACAGTTATCTACTCGTGATAATTCTGATTTCATTTGTATCACTCATTTCAAACTTACCATATTATTTTGGAGCAAATGCTAGAAACATTAGACATTATTTTATTCATACATAAATCAGTACATATTTATAAAAGGTATGAAATATTTCCATTGTATCACACTTGAAACAGTAATACTTAATAATATCTAATATTCCATCAGTAGTTGACTTTCCAAAGGCTTCCTAATTTTTTAAAAATCAAGATCTATAAAGATTTATAAATTATATTTGACTGATATGATTTACTCCTCAAATATTTTTTCTTTGAAATTTTTCATTGAATAAATCCTGTCTTGTCTCCCACAATGTTGATATTGAGAGTTAGCAGTACCTAGGTGTTATTTAACGTGTTCCTCTGTTCACCATCTTTCCTTCCTATGAAAAGGTAGAGCAAAAGCTTGTTTTAAAAAAGGTGTCATTAAGAAAGATTATTTCACAGTAGTGGTATGAATTTAGATAGGGACACATAATGTATTGTTCTTATTATGATATTAGCAGGAATTAATAATCATTGCCTGCACTGATCTCACTACAAATTTTAAGGGATCCAAAATAACACATTCCAATTCTATTATTTTGTCCATTTGTCAATTGTGTTAGCTAGAATATATCTAATAAGAACAAAATGTTTATTTTCTTTAAGCCAAAGCTGTTTTTGATCTCTGTCACACATTGCTGAAACCTAATAGTACCTAATATTTTTAATTTAAGGGTTTTCATGAGTGTTAATGAAGATAGCTCAGGTAGCATGCTTAGAAAAGGAGGGCTCTATTCTTAAGCCACTTCATCTGGCTCAATGATATCCTTTATTGCCTATCAGCTGACTCTTCTCTCATCCAGTCATCCACCAGAACCTTTCCAGATCCATATATCCAAATCTCAGGTACATGTCTACTGGCCATATCACATTTTTCTGCTCTCTAAAACTTCATAGTCTCTCCTTTCTGTGACCTCACTAAGCCTTCATTTTCTTGTCCACTGCTTTAGTTCAGAACTAGAACATTTCTGTGACTCTTTCAATGGAGACATCCAGTCTTACATTCAGCATGTGAAAGCATTTCTCATCATTGTTGGCATGACTGCTTCCCACTACACTGGAAGATACTTGAGGACAGTAGCTTTAATTTTTCTTCTTTATACACCTAGTGCTTAGCACAGTCAGTGGCACATAGTCTACTCAGTAATCAGTAGGAATCTAAACACTTGTCAGCTAATAGCATGAGTCGAAGGGCTCAGTGTCATTAGTGCAATTCACCCTCAGTATAGTCCTGTGATGTAAATATTCTCATCCCCATTTTACAAAAGAAACTGAGACATAACGTGGCTGCATAATTATTGAATTTATTCAACAGGAAAAGATGGACTCAGGAATGCCTGAGTATTTAAGTATTTAAAAACTGGACAAAAAGCATGAAAAATGAATAAATCAAAACAGAGACTATTTTATGAATTTCTAGTTAAGTTTCTATCCAGAGTGATAGACAAAACCTACTTTTCTACAATGTCAAAGAAGTATCTGAAAAATCCTACTCAACCTCAAAATATGTTCTCTAGCTTTTCATTAATAACAGAGCTTTCACAGTCAGAACCTATTGTTCTATCTTGAAATTCCTAAGTCACCAACACACAGCAGGAAGAAAAGTACTGGTTCTTTTTTGGAGTGGATGAGAGGTAGCAGAGTTAGGACAGGAGGGATCATGGCAATGGCGGTTTTCTAAGTTGGGTAGAAAACAACACTGAAGTGTGATTAAACGCCACAACAAATACTAAGCTCTCCTATATCTGGACTTTTTTCTCAGTTTGTCTTGCTATTGTTTTTTTTTGGCTTTTATGTTTATTTTTTAACAGGAAAGCTTGAATTGCCAAAATTAGAAATGAAAGGTGAAAACAAGGAACTCTACTGTGTCCAGTAGATTGTGTCCAACTCATTAAAGATGGAAGAAATCTCACCACATCAGAATTTTTGAGATAACACAAGGTCTGGCTACCCAGAAGGAACTTTTCATCCTCATGCCTGGGTGATAAATTACACTATCATTTTCAGGGGCCATTTGCTATAGAAAAGCAAATTAACCCAGTAATTTTTTTAATTATACCTCTGAGGCTTCATGAAGACATATCCAGTCTGGTTATGTTTTGGTCCTGCAGTTCTAGTTTCCTGAGCCTTCTGTGATTTTACTAACTTCAATTGCTGCTTAATTTGAAAGGAAGTTCCTTTATTTTAATGGTGGAAAGCTGGGAACGGTGAAGGTTTTAATTACCTCTTAATTTTCTCATGACTCTGTGTTCTACCCATCAGTTCTGAGTTTATATGAACTAGTTTAACACTGAAAGAGTTTGGAATATTTGCTTTTATTAGCTAAGTTATATTTATATTCATGTGGAAGAAAAAATTATAATTTTATTATATAATAATATTTATTAATAATATAGTATTTGCATTGATATTACTTAGCTTTTTAAATTAATATATTTTTACATATAAAAAGGTGAAAGTATTCCCTGTCTTCTCAACTTAGTCATTCTTTCCTTATATCTAGAGAGGGAAATGCAAAATTCCTCTGTAGTATTCTTTTTCCCAAGTCATTCACTCATTCATTCAGTTATCCCTTCATTTATTTATTCAGTTACTTATTTATTAATATTCTTGGGCACCAAGTATGTTCCAAGCACTCTGTTAGAGGATGACAGTAAATTAGTGGGCAAGGGATACCCTGTTCCAACTTCTCATAGAAAGGGTAACTGGCAGCTTCAGGATGAGCCCACGACTGCGCATACAGAGTGCTCTGGGAATTGCAGTGTCTCCATGTGTCCCAAACTAAACTCACTGCTCAGTGTGTGTTGCCTGTTTCCTCTCTCCCTTACTTCTTCCCACCTTCCCTCTCCTTCCCTCCTTCCTTGCCTCCTTTCCTTCTCCTTCTCCTCCTCCTCCTTCCTCTCTCTCTCTTTCCAAGTAACAGCAACCACTGGGCCAAGTGGCCACGAACTTCAAACCATGAGGCAGGTACATGCGGGAACGAATGAATTAATGCAGACTCTAACGCACAGTTGGCAGGCAAAATTATGTGGCTATCTGAAGCTGCTCTTCTGGAGATGCCCCATAGACACAGAACCTGAAGCCCAGCCCCCGCCCATACCAGTTCATGTCTTCCTAGCCTAGGACCATAGCTGAGTGTGAACAGGTTTTTTAAATGTCCTAGTCCTGTTCTTAGCCTGACCACTGGCCACTTCTGGGCTGCAAAGGAGAATCACCCAGTTGACCTCGTGCCACCTCCAGAACTAGGAGGCATAGCAGCAGTAAATGATTGCTTCTTTATGACATTACTGAATTATTTTGATAGAGGGCAATTTATAGATAATCAGTATTCTAGTTTTCAAGTAGGTCAGTAAATAACTTAAAACTACCTTAAACTATAAATTGTTATCTCAAAAATAATATATAATATGTATCCAACAAATGAGACAAAGGATAATAGGATTAGCTGTCTTTTGGAATGATCCTCAATTCTTGTAAATTAAAGTTAGTATTATTCATATTTGATTTTAAATACTATGTGAAACAATACAGTCCAGTGGTAAGGCCGCTAGTTTTGGAATCAGATCAGTTTGTTTCAAAACTATTGTTCCTAAGTACAAGAACTTGGACAATTTGAGTCGTCCTTTGAAATATTCAGTTTTTTCCTAAAAAAAATTTTGAAATACTTTTGCATTAAGCCTAAAAATAGGACGGTTCACATGAACTTAGCCCACTGCTTAGAAAATAGTGCCTGATAAGTGGTAAGTATTGCTATGCTGGATGTCTGTATCCAAATAACAGAAACCCCTGGGCCAAGCAGCCATGAACTTCAAACCATGAGACAGGTGTATGCCAGAGCCAATGAATTAATGCAGAGTCTAACATGGAGACAGCAGTAAAAAAACAAAATGTATGGTTGATGCAATCGGTTGCCGATGAAATCTGATCATGCCTGAATTATACTTTGGTAATAATAACACATGATAGGGGGTTTTCATTATGCATTTTATTAGATAATATTGTTGCTCAAGATGGAGAACTCACTGTTTCACATTCTTGTGGCAGTGAATCTTCTTCCTGCACTACATAAACTTCTTGAGAATTACATTAAAACTTTCATTCTCCGGGGTCAAGATGCATGCCTATAGTGAAATTCTTTCATTTAAGTTAGTGAACTCAAAACAGTAGAACATTAATTTTGGGGTCCGTTGCACAAGCATAGATGATAAAGCCTGGTTGCTCAAGCGATGCTAAAGAGTTTAAGCGGCCCTCTGCTATGTCATTCAGAAGTTTCCCTATACATTCATGGTCAAAGGGAGAAACACAGACATATTAATGTTGCAGTTGCTGAACGTTCATTCAATGCTTTAACCCCTACAGCCATACACAGACAATAACTGAAGTTATAGCTTCATATGTCTATGTGGCGTCAATCTTCAAGCTCTTTTTATCAATACTGAACATTTGCTTTTTGGCTGTGCTTTTTTTTTGTTTTTTTTTTTGTTTGTTTGTTTTGTTTTTGTTTTTTTTGGTTGAAGATTTGTTTCACTTGCACAGGCAAAATAATACTACTATTGAAAACTGACAAAATAGATGAACAAAGGAGATTATTTATAATAAAGGAAGCTCAGAAACTCCCCTCCCTTCTTGGCAAGGCTGAAGCTTTAAAAAAGTCCCCATTCCCACTTTCTTGCTTCTTGCTTGTTTCTTAGGTTAGCAAATGTAAACACTGGCTTCTCTGCAGTGAAGGGATAAATGCAGGCACACAGGAGTAGAAGCTCTAGAAAGGCGTATGTTTGTTCCATCATTCTGTGGATCCTTGTGCACAGACATATTCCATATTCCTTATTGCAGGCATCATATCTTATCTGTGAAAGGAAACAGGACAGTGATTGTTTGATACTCATCTGCATCAGAAGACAGTGTTTTGATTGCTCATCAAAAATTGAGTACTATCTAATAAAAGCTTAAATTGAAAGCTATTGGGGTTCTTAAGTCTTTAAGGATGGCAATATACAAAGTTTTAATGGCAATATACAAAGTTTTAATGATGGATATTTTTGACGATTGAACATCTCAGATTTCCTTATACAACTCTGAAGTCAGAGAAAGTACAGAGAAACATGTGTCCTGAGTGACATGCCCTGAGTAGGCACCACCTGTATGTATGCTTTAGTAGTAATAATGTCCCTCGTTCTCACAACACTGGTCTCAGAGGACGCACATATTGATGGAGCTTGAGGATTTGGCATGTGGCATATCCTTTTTCATCAAAGCCCACAGAGCTCCAGCTCAAGAAAATGACAGTGGAAGCTGTGCTGCTTGTATCTCAAGTTGGGTTACAGTGTGCCATTCTTTCTGGGGCACAGAGGCTGGCAAGGGAAGGCTTAGATCCTGTGAGAAGGGACAGTAAGGGAAAAATATGTTTGGAAGATAGAAAACCTAAGTATGATTATAAATTTGACTTAACATTCACATTTTTACATCCCAGTTGGTATAGAAAAAATATATAATAAAGAAAAGAAATGTGTACTTTTACTGAATTGGTTTGTCAAAATGATATGATCAATTACCTTATTAGTCACTGAATTAACAGTGATAATAGTAAAAATAAAACTACCTTATGCAGCACAACATCACTCATATAAATATTCTATTCCAAATTATGAAGCAAACATCCATCTTGTCTCCATGTAGCCCTGTGTAAATGCCACAGTTTTCTTATTCTTGAATTGTAACTTAAAAACCACTACACAAAACATTCCAGTAATGTGTTTTCCATTTGTTTCAGTTGCATAAGTGGGTATCCTACTTTGCAATAAACCAAAGACCACCATTGGTAGTAAAACTGCAGAGAACACTTTGTGAATTTTTAGAGAATGCTTTTTTAACTATTAACAAAGGCCATCAAATACAACCTATGTCTTTCTTTGCTGCTTTAAGAAGATTTGTTCCAGTGAGAACTAAAACACAGAGAGACTGCGTTCGTCATTAGAGCTGGCACCTCTCCCCATAGGATGTCAGCGGTACCAAGACACTTAGGCTGATACCCTAAGAGCTGCACCTGGTAAGTGAGGCAGTACAGACTCCCCTGCCTGGGAGAGGGGAGGTGTTCCTTTATCTTGGAAACAGTCTATGGTGAATCCTTATGGCTTCCTTAAAGTAATGTTATTTGACACAGGTAGTGGAAGGAGACACCTTCATTTCCCAAATTCAATAAGACATCATCTTGTTTTTATTTTTTAACTGTATCATAACTTAAACATCAAAAACCAAACAGTGTAGCTAGTGCATGATGCTGATAGAATTATAAATTTTTATGTACTTATTGTATTTCTCCATTCTAAAGGACATTTTGGATCTTCTGTTTTAGTATTCTCCTGTTCCCATACTTGAGAGAGCATCATGCATGTAATTTTGTGTCAGTCCACGGAACTTAACAAAAACCAAGAAAATTTTAAGAAAGAAAATTAAAGTCGGGAGCTCATCAAAATCAGTAGCTGATAGGCTGATTTCTATGACTACTACTATTTGTACAAAGATTAAATTTGTGGTTTCATGTTTTGAAAAATCTACTTCAAATCAATTCTATTTAACTAGACGCTGACTGTGGCTTGAAAACTAGGTCAAAGCACAAAGGTGTAAAGGGGTTGTGGTAAACCAAAATGCATGTTATGAAAATACTGTTAGAATGAAGTAGAAAGGAGATTTTGAAGAAAGATACGATTGTGCTAGGTAATATTGAACAGTGCCCTAAAATGTGAATGCAATTGTTTTTATTTCCTACAGTGATTGCTATCTCAGAATCAAGACCCAGGTTCATCACAGCTGGGATGACTGGATCCTGTTATTTCAGTACTTTATGTCTATGACTCCAGGGTTATCTACATGGCATTATTCATGACTTAACTGAAAAGAATAGTGCCTCCTTTGTTCAGTACACTAGGAAATATTAAACCTTTAGATTATGAAATCCTCTCACTTTAAACTTTAATGCTTTCACATTTTTTTCTTTATTACCCATAGTTTTGTACTTGTTAGAAATGAATGGCTCCACATCACTTATAAGTTCAAAGGAAAACTCCTGGAATGTCATACAATGATCTCGTCATATCCCCTCTGGCCTCTGCTCTACTGTACACTCGTATGGCCCAATATAGCTATTTCATGACTGTGTCTTTACTAAAATTGGCCCTTTCTTTCTAAACTCCACCTCTACTGAGTCCCTTGATCAAGTCAAGATGATCCCTAAGATCTACCAGACTATTAATACAGTGTATCTCTGTTTTCCCTTTGTCATCAAGGTCACTCTCTGCTTCCTCCAGGAGAGTAGAAACAAACGTTGAGCATTCATCAGAATCACCTAGAGGGTTTATTGAACCGCAGATGACTGGCCCACATCCTCAGAGCTTCTGATACAGTAGGTCAGGGTGAACCTTCATGTCTAACAAGTTGCACACTGATGCAACACACATTCTTGTGCCAGAAGTATACTTTGAGAACTCCAGGAAATCACTTTCCCCTCTTTAATTGTTCTTTCAAATTTCCAGGGCGTCTTAAAACCACAGAATTAATCTTTTTAGACTTCAACACACAGCTAATAATAAATATCAACTAAACAGGTTCTGAATGCCACTGGATGGGGATCAGAGGAGATGCCCCAAAGAAGAGCTGGGGACTTCAATTCTTCACATCCACGGAGTAGGTTGTGGGTTCATCGACTTCTGTCCAAGAAGAAAATTTTTAAGATATCTCAATTAGAGGCATAAAGAAGCTTATTAGGTGGAATTTTAAAAGTACACACTCAGAGAGAATAGAGAGGAGCATTATGTCCTGAAGTTCGAGATTTTTATGTGGTCTTGAGAGTGTCTCCAAGATGAATGATCTGGGGTATGTATTCCTATTGTCTGTCAAGCTCTCCACTTGGTGGGTTGGGTGAGAATTCCAACTATTTGGATGTGCTTAAAGCAGCACTATTCAGTGGGTCTTCTGCCCACTAAATCGTGCTACTTCCTTGGAGGTGGAGGTCTATGGAAGAAAAACCACAGGCTCCATTCACAGATGAAAAGCATTGCCCCCAACCTACATGCTAAGTGTATTTTTCAGACACTTAGAAAAAGCATTTTTTGGAGTAAATTTCTTGGAAGGCAAAAAGGCTTGGCTAACTTTTGTGTCCTGAAGCCACAGTCTTTCTTATCAGTAGAATTTTTAAGTTATGATTTTCTCATCTCCTTTCTACCTATCTTTATTTCTTCTATCTTACCTCATGAAGAGGTTTTCTGTAAGGTGAGGTTTAGGAAGCTTGTAACATCCTTTTTGTTTTCTCAGAAATCTTTTGTGTAACTTCAGTTCCAGGTTCTGTTCTGAGTGATTTGCTTTACAGAATAGAGCGCCTCCCAATGACTGAGCTATTCTTCCTTGAGCTATAGTTTTGTGGATTCTGACTGTTACTATCCAAGTTTTGCAGTTATTACAATGATGCAAAGCTTGCTGAAAGGACATCTTTGAGCTAGGATCCTCAAACTTTCAGACATAGAAGAATCTTCTCAGTAAGCTTATTAAACATGCAAATTCTGACTTAGCTAGTCTGGAATAAAGCTCAATGCTTTACACCTCTAATAAGCTCTGAGGTACTTCTAATACTGCTGGTCCATGGCCTGCACTTTGAGGAAAAAAAACAAGGGAGGTGTTAGGACACTATCTCTAGAGAACTATATACTAAGATTAGTTATAGACTTTGTTCAAAAAATTGGGCATCATGAAGAAAATCAGAAGACATCTGCAACTTAAAATGGTCTTTTGTGAAACCCTAGTGATTGCAATTTATGTTGCATACTCGTTGTAATCATAATTACGCATCATTTACTTAAATTGTCAGCCTTCCAATAACCTGGCATTCAGGTGAATGGCAAACACTGGCAAGTATCTCTTCAAGGGACAACAGTTACCACTAAGGTGCAGACTCACTACATTTTGCCTTTGTACACATCAAAGGAATCTAATGACACCAAAAACAGCAGAATTGTTTTTCCCGAAGGTAACATATTATAGCGTGTGCTTCTCATTCTGGGACCAGAAGACTATTGTCTTGGGTTCCCTAAAAACAGGGCCTGAACTAGAGATATGTGTGCACGTAAGTATTAAGGGAGTGCTCTCAGAAGATGTATAGGAGAAAGGGTGATCCAGAGAAAGAGAAGAAATTCAGCAAAAAAATGTGGTCTCAGAAAGGGTAGCCTTAACCTCAGCAGCCTTCACCTCACCTGCTGGGCTCTGCAATTGCACTGCAGAATTGTCTAGCTTTGGGGCAAAGGGACCAGGCTTTTATGTCCTCTGATTTATTAGTTATTGGTCATTTGGTGATGGGGGAGTTAACCTTCCTGGCATCTCCAGGCTAGGTGATTGCCATCAACCAAGGGCAATGCTCCACAGAAGGATGCAGCTGGTTGTAAGCCATCAGCAGCAGCTGTCATCACAGCTGGGAGACAAGTGAGGACAATAAACAGGGTCTGAGCAGGAAACCAGAACTGCCCACTGGGAGTGCAGAAGGACGTGACAGTAGACAAAGACTGCCTAGAGAGGGGACGCGCATCCATAGGTGGGCAAACAAACTATCTCTCCATCCAAAGCACCAGGGCAGAGGGTGGGGCTGGAAGTGAGACACACAGAGATACTGTGAGAGAAGAAAATGGCTAGCCTGAGTCCCCTGTTTGTAACAGAAGAAATATGAGCACATTAACATCCAGAAGCAAATCTCTGGTCCTTCACAGGCCCCAGCCAGACACTCAATAGGGGAAAGCCCAGGAGACATCTTGGGCAGCTCACTGCCTAACAGTGCAGTCCCTGTGCTGCAAATCCTTCCAGAGAAAGTTCAGTCGGGCTTGTAGCCAATTTTATGGGGTTTTCCATTCCAGTTACCTTTCTGCAGGCTTCCCACTCTGCAACTTTCTGCTGTCCTAGGAAATTAAAGGGGCCTTCTATTCTAGCAGGTGACAATCATCTCATTTTCTTGGCATCAGTTTAAGAATGAACAAGTGCCAGACTTTCAGACTTTGATAAATGTAATATTTCAAAATATAGGAACTCTTCTTCAAGTCTAAAGAGAAGAAAAGAGATACTTTCAGGTTTTTTTTTTTCTACCACAAGTATTCATGCATTTCAATGTTAATTGCATTTATTTCCTGTGTCATATCTTTCTGGTTTGAAATGAACTTACATAAAACTAAAACAAAATTGTTTTTCAATGAGTTCAGTAATAGTTAATATTTTGTCCCCAGGATATGCATTCTGAGTATCCGTTTTGTGCTAAAATTGTACAGTGTTGTCTAGTTGTGGAAGGTAAGTACCTTGGGCAAGAAACAAAATGTATTCTCTCTATTCATCACTTTGAAATTAAATTGTAAGAAAAAAGCAAAATTGAATTAGTAAGGAGTGAGAGACATTGTCTAGACAACTTCCTTCAGGAAGAATAAACACGGACAGCACAGCTGGATGCATTGCCCTGGGAGAGATGGGCAGTGATAGACAGCTGGGGCCCCTGGTAGGAGAGATGGTGGCCAAGGTGTCTCTCCACAACCTGACTGAGCAGGCTAGCAAGCTCCACAGCAGCCTGTTGTCATGGGCTATAAGGTAGGCAGCAAGCACACTCTGCTATAACGCAGGCTCCTTTGTCGCGAGAGCTGAAAAGTTAAGGATGCAGGTGCATGTTCATGCTCCATTCTCAATGTGACTAAACAGGCACCCAGTGAACTCCTGTTCTGCTCCCTAACCCTGTTCCATCCATGGTTCTACCCACATCAGTGAACAGCAACCCCATGTCTCTGTCTGCCCAGGCCAACATAACTGCAGTCCCTTCACTTCCTCTCTTTTCCCCACAACTCATTTGCAAATTCACTTGCAAACCCTGGTAACATTGCTTTGAAACCACTTACCATTCTCAACACCTGCAGTGGTTTGAAGGTCCCAGAATTCATGAGTTTGAAACATCATCCCCAAAGCCAGCTGTGGGTAGTATTTGGAAGTGGGAGCTTTGGGAAGTATGTTAATCAGCTTTTCATCACTGACCAAATACCTGAGGAAACAACTGAAAGGAGGACTTACTAGGCTCACAGTTTGAGGGTTGTTGTCCACTTTTAGTGGCTCCATTTCCTTAGGTTTTCAATGAGGCAGAGACATCATAGCGGAAGGGCGAGGCACAGGAAAGCTGCTCATCTCATAGCATCCAGGAAGGAGAGAAAAGAGCCCAAAAGGGAGGGGCTGAGGAGCACATTAGTACAGTCCCCAAGACCACGCCCCCAAATCACTCCTTTCAACCAGGGCCCATCTCCTAGGTGTCCACCACCTCCCAATAATGCCTTCAGACTCATCAATCTATTAATCCACTGATAAAGTCAGAACCCTCATGATCCACTCACTCCCAAAAGCCCTATCTCTGAACACATGAAGGTTTTCAGGAGACATCTTAGACCCAAACGATTGCAGGAGGTGATTGTCTCGTGGTGATTTTACTTTTATCAATTGATGTATTCATTAGCTGATTGATGTATTAATGGATTTTTTATTTCCCATGTTTTTGTTTGTTCTTGCGATAAAGTCTTACTATACAATTCAGGCTGGCCTCAAACTCGTGATCCTTCTCTCAGCCTCCCAAGTGCTAGCATTACAGGCATGTACTGTAATAATAATACTGTGCTATTAGTGCTTCATTAAGGAGTAACTCTGTTATAAAGGCACCAATCCCTGGCATGAGTGCTTTGCCTCACCACACAATGCCTTTTACTGTATTATGACACATCAAGATGGCCACCACTAGAAGCCATCTTAATATTCCCACCTCCAAAACTGTGTGTTAAAGAAACTTATCTTTCATGTAAATTACCCATCCTATAATATTCAATTATATCAATAAAAATAAATTAGAAGATCAGAGGTGTGGCTTAGGGATATAGCACATTTCTTAGCATTCTTTTGATGCCTCATGTTGTATCTCCAACAACACAAAAAACTAAAATTAAATTTAAAAAGCAAAAAAAATGGATTGATACATCATCTTCCCTGCTACTGTGGTCCAAGTGACCACCATCTCTTGCCAGGATTATTAGGACATTTTCTGAATTATTAGAGTGTCTCCTTACATCTCCTAGATTATGAGACTATCTCCTTTTATGTCTGCCTTTGGCCCACAACACTTCTAACAGCAGAAAGAGTGATTCTTTGAAGATGTGTTATGATTTAAATGTCCTCAAAGTAAAGCAGAAGCTTTAAAAACAAACAAACAAACCCAGGCCCTACAGAGCTGGCACTTGTGTTTTTCTCTGGCATTACCTGCAACCATTTCCTGTTTAGGAAGTGCTTCCTGCTATGTGAGGCCTGGTGAATTACAAGTGAGCTTAACTTTAGAGAAGCTGGAAGAATATGATGGATATTTTCTTCTCCTTTATCTGCTGACTAGGAGATGGATTTGTGAGCAGCTTTGATTAATCTGATGATCCTACACAGGAATTTTCATGGGAAGCTGCAGAAATAAGAGATGTAGCAGACAGGCCAAGTGGGTGTGACATCAATCAATCACAGAAAAGCAGGAGACATGTGCCCACGCCCCGCATCTGGATCCAGTTAGAAAGTGCTATCTTCAATTCTTCTCAAAAGAAATCAAGCAGGCTTTTGATAGGATGGTCTGGATCTGACCTCAGCCTGTGAATTAAGAAATAAAAAAGATGGCCCCCATTTAGCTCCTGGCCACTGTACTCTCTCACAGTGGTCTGTTCTCACTCTGCAGAGTGTATTTCTTTTCCTAATTTTAATTGGCACATCCTCACTCAGCAGAGCATGTTTCTTTTCCAACCTTTAATAAAAGTAAAACATCACTATCTTTTGTGCTTGTTTTGTCCAAATTCTTTGTTTAGGACAAGAAGAACCTAGGAAGAATCTCTAGAAGTTGTTCCGAGAACCTCGGAACCTAGCAACAGGAGTATATGTGCCACTGCAACTGTCGTGTTGTAGAATAATGCTCAGTCTCAGGCTTAATCCCAAGCTCAATCCCTTCCCTTATTGAATCTCAGTTATCTATCCTTCTTGCCATTTTTGCATGAACTCTCTCTCTCTCTACTATTTCTAAATGATTTTTTCCAGCTCAGATCATCCAGAGTTTATTTCTGTTTCTTGCAGTTAAAAATCTTGCCTACTAAAATGTGCCAGTCAAATTAAATTTCATTTGATTTTGTAGAGGAGGAAGACAAAATCTTTTTCTTCTGTGTCCTTTTAGAGTGCCTGGCTGGAGCCCTGTGAAGCAGCTCACAAAAGTCAGATTAACAATTAAAAACAACAGTTTATTATCATGTGCACTGAACATGTATGTGCCAATCTCACCAGAGCTCCCCAAAGATGGATGGGGACCTCAGCTTCTCCTGGGTTTCAGGACACATCAGTGAGAGACATAGACATGTTTATTAAGCAGAACTGAAAAGCACACACTCAGAGAGAAAGAAGTGTGAATGCTGGGAAGGTAATGCACAGCAAGTAAAAGTCTGGGGTTGACGAGCCTTATGTGGTTTTAGATCATCCTTAAAACATGATCTGAGATCCTTACTGATCAAGTTATTTATTATTTTACTAGTTTCCATTTCCTTAACATAATGTTGATCATTATCAGGTAAAGCAAAAACTGGCTTTATCAATTAGACTAAAACACAAACTGTGTGCTTGTGCTCAATGTTTAGAGATATGATACTCAGTTAATAGTACTAGTTCTTTGAAAGTCCTTGGAATTTATTGAGGAAGAAAAAACAGAGGTCAAATTTATGAACTTATTATAATTTTAAAACTTAGGAATTTAGGAGTAAGAAGCCTGGAAGAAAAGCAGGCCTAACATCATAACATCAGGTAGTTTGACTAGGACTTCAAGCTATGGTTTTTTAAAGAACAATTTTTAAATTATAATCTCGTCTCTTTTCTACCTACCTTTACTCCTTGTACCTCACGATCATTTGCTGATGAGTGGCACAAAGAAGTGGTGAGAACTTGAGTTTATAGCTCATCTATAAGAACAATAAATTTATAAAGAAGTAACAAGAATAAGTAAGAAGAAGACTTTGAGCCTTTAGGGGTGGCAAACCATGGGAAGGCAAATTTACAGGGCAACAAATGGCAGAGAAGACCTAGTTTTAACAAGGTTAGTTATGCAGCTCCCTTGTGCATCTCTGGGCCTAGAGTTTAGGATTAATGTCAAGAGTTGTGTCTGGTCACTAAGTTCTGTTTTTCCTGTTACAGAGGAGGGGCACTTTTACAGACTTATGTCATGTTTTTAGACAAACAGAGGGAAGATAAAGATATTTTCTTGTATCTGCTTTTCAGCAACTACCTTCAGCTCAAAATAATTCTTGTGCCAACCTGGCATATTTGAAGGAGGCGCATTCTTTGTGCACCTCAATTTTAAATGCATGGTGTTTGTGCTTGTATTGAACATGACCATCAGACCATTCATATTGTGGCCTATGTGGAAAACATAGTTCAAACCTGAATGTCACAGGAGTAGAAAATAGACTTCTCAGATCCTGGAGCTTCTTGCTTGTTTAGAGGAATTCACTAATTGAGTAGAGTATGCTTTTCAATAATTAGGTAGAGCAAAATGTAAGCATTTCCAACTTCGTAGGTCGCTCAAGCTTTCAATAGCCCTCCAAGAAAATTCTAGGAAATCTGAGGCATAAGGTGCTGTGACACTTCAAGAGTTCTGACAATAAATGTTGCTTTGTGGCTTGTATAAACGTTGTTTAGGGGCTGGGGATTTAGCTCAGCGGCAAAAGCGCTTGCCTGGCAAGCGCAAGGTCGTGAGTTCGGTTCCCGGTACCGGAGAAAAACCAAAAAAATAAAAATAAAATAAAATAAAATAAACATTGTTTAGTCATTCTTGTATAGTCATTCTCATCTACTCGGAAACAGGTGCTAAAAGGAGGTTGTGAAAGTGAACTATAGGGAGTGAATGAGAGCATTTCCTCAGTTTGACAAAGTCAATAAAGTAAAATTGTTCTTGAGCACTCAGCAATAGAATAGCCTTGTATATGAATTTACCATATTTAATTTCTATTCCCCAAGTGATTAGGCATTTAATTTTTCTAAAACTAAAGAGTCTGTATGAACCACCTTGACCCAATTGATATTTATAGACCATCTTACCCAACAACTGCAAAATACATTCTTTTCAGGTATAAACTATAAGTTCATGAAATTAGACCAAATCTTGCAATATTAAAAAATCAACTTTTAATAAATTTCCAATGATTGAAATTCTACATAGTGTATCTTTTATCCATGATGGAATTATATTAATAATATAACATTAAAATTCCAATATTTCTAACTGAATGATAGAAATAAGTTTAAAGGAATTCATATGGAGAAATCTTCTAACATCATACTCCAAGATAACAGTGAGAAAACATACCTAAGGGCTGTATAGTCCTTTACAGTTTACATTTAGGCTTTTTGTCTTATCCAGTGTGGAGACGATATTAATATAATAGGTATTATTATACACTGCGAACGGTACATTAACCATCTCCATACTTTTGAAGAATGATAAAGAGGCCTGTCAAGCGGCTGGCAGAACCCAAGGGAGGATGATCTTATCTCTCTGTCCTGGATCCCAGCTTTGTCACAAGCTCTGCTCCCTAAATAACCCCCCACCTTTCTGCACCTGAGTTGGTTCTGTGGCTTCCGTTCAATACATGATAATATTCAAGAACATATATGCATGAACTCTACTTCTCTGTTGGAGAGTTCAAGGATAGCTATGACTTATCCTCACATCCAGGATGGGCAAACACACATCCAGGCCTTGTCAGCCCAAGTCCAGGGCTTGTTCAAGACAGGATGGTCTGCTATTCAAACACATGTGGTACTGAAAATTTTCATCTCACCAAAAGCAACAGCTAACATTTCCTAAGAAGTAGTGAAAAAATAGTTTCGTGACAGTGTAAGCCTGATAAATGAAGGAGAACGATCATTAAATTGTTTATCTTATTAAGATTTAGGTTAAAATAATAGTTTTGCATTAGCTATTAGATTAGATGGTAAATAAATCAAATGCCAACTTTTGTGTACATGTGTTAAATGTGGAATTACCTGTGATATAACTCTCTTCAAAGTGCATTTGACTTTTGTAGGATGATCACGAAAAGACAAATTAAAAAATAAAATGAGGGCATCACTGACTTTCCCAATGCCTCCTTTTCAACCTTGATATTT